TCTATGTGATTGATATGTGATTTACAAATAGTAAAACATATGCGGGCGCGCGCACACACACATACACACACACACACACACACACACACACACACACACACACACACACACACATATACACACACACACACACACACACACAGAGAGAGAGAGAGAGAGAGAGAGAGAGAGAGAGAGAGAGAGAGATAATGAGAGAGTGAGAGAGACAGACAGACAGACACATATATAATATATACACATGCACGCACGCACGCACATCTGCCCGCCCATTATTTTATCTCTGTTGCGTTTGGGATTGTTACTTTACAGTTCTACTGTTGTTAAAAAAAGAATTACAGAAATAAACAAAGATTTTTCTTACGGTATTGGTACTTTTTTGCGTCGAATCTCTACCTCAAAACGTTGTAACAACTTTGTATAGATATTGGCGCCTTACAAGATAATGTGGTGCTTAGAACATTCCTTGATTTACCGACTTAATATCACAAATGTATTGACCAAAGTATATTTCATCATCGTACATCATTTATTTTGTACACAATATATGTTTCTTAATAAATTACAGCAGAATTGCTTCGGTAGTAACTGGCGCCAATTTTCTCATATATATAATTAAAGAAATTATCTAAATAAACTACTATTGTTTCGTACAGACATTATAAATTTAGTAAAATTATATATGTACGTAATAATATATAAAATGTGGAAGTAAAATAGTTTCTCTTTGACCTAGTCAATTGACCTGACATTTAGCATGAACATAGTATTTGCGATGAAAAAGAAAATATGCCATTTTTTATTTCGGTTATGCGGACAAAGTTGTAGTTTTACAAGTACATACAATTTATAGATTAATTAATTTTCCATTTTCTTTTAATTAAGAAAAATTATGTAGCTAATTTTAATTGAGCCCATGCCTTCTACGACATGATGAAAGCCAATTTCTGCTTTTCAATCACGCTATTGAAATAGAATTGTAATATTTTCATTAGATTTCTATTACATTGCTCAATATGTAAGTAACTTATAAATAAATATATAATGTTAGTGTTTTTTTTATACAACTTAGAATGGCAAACTAGCTGACGGCCCACCTGATGGAAAGTGGTAACCGTCGCCTATAGACATGAGCAGTACCATGGACATAACAGAGTATACTGTTTCGCCCATGATACCCCCATTCGTTGCCATTCCTGAGGACTCAGGTGTTATTCCTCTGTACCCTGTAAATTCACGCCACATCCCACCCTTCAAACTGAAACACAGTCATGCAAACACAACTGCTTCACGGTTGAAACACGAATGGAACAGAGGTACCCAAGCAATCGACTTTTGTACAAAGTATCCCTCTGGTAAATTTAATTTAAAATAAACATTACGTAAATATGTATTTATGGATAATATCGTCTATAATGGTCAACACAGTGATCAGTAGAGCTTTCCGTCGAATACGGCGATAATAAATCATTTCCGCGATACGAGTCGGTTATACCGTTTCGTATATTGAAAAAAATACCGTTTTGTTTTCTGTTCAACTGACAGTATACTTTTTTCTACTACTCTTCTCTGTTTGTTTGTTTAAAATAGTTTATTGTACATAATTTAGAGAGAAAATTGATATATAATAGGTACACAACAATAATGTGTTCGTACCTATATAAACGAAATTAAATTAGTTATTTAATGCAAATAAATTAACTTCACTTCACTTCACCTGACGTCATCTCATTTCATTTATCGTAATTTCACTTTATTTCATTTCATAAAAATATTTTTATATATTGCTATTGGCTTCGGTCAAATTTGAATTTCAAAGATAAATTCTTTTAAATTCTAAATAAGTTGTAAGTACATACTTAGATATACATATGCTAGTCCAAACTTATTTCCAATATTTATATTCTATATAATATATATATTTAGAATTTGAGAGATTTATCTTTGAAATACAAATTTCACCAAAGCCAAAATCTCTATTATATATTATATTTTTATGAAATAAAACGAAATGAAATTATGACAGATGATATGGGACGAAGTGAGATGAAATGAAATAAAGTGAATTTACTTACATTAAATAACATAGCTATGTCTTATAAATATGTAGGCATATGAAGAATTAATCAGGTTAATTTTCATAAAAAACAAACACAAACAAGTAAATTTTATTGTGCAAATTAAGAAACATGATAGGTTTATCAAAAATGAACTATTTAAAGAAAAGTAGTAAGTGTCATTTGGGATGATATTAGAATTCAAACGGTATCACATACATCCAAATTTGTTCAAGCATTTAGAAGTTGTGGTGGAATGAAGAAACTTATATACATAATTCCTGAAAATATAACAATCCTTATTGGGTAGTCTTGTAAAAAAATATACCTACGCGAATAGAAAATATTCTCCTTTCGGAAGTCATTTAAAATGTGAAGAATTAACCAAGTATCGACGGGGCATAAAGCTAGTAACTGATATTAACGGTTGAAGAGGGTGAAAAATAACAATAACACAATACTACAAGATTTATGGTGTTTGTGTATGACTAACGAATGTGCCGACTTCGTTCCACTGAGTGGCAAGGGTGGGGTGTGATTTTGCTGATTCCTGGCGCGAAATTTTGTTTGTATTGATAAAATTGATTGGAAAGAGATTATTTTTATCTTTTATTTAAATAATAAAGCAATTTCTAATTACTAATAAAATAACTTTTGCACAGTGGCAGTTGCCAACCTATTTGCCAAGTATGGCAACTACTAGCAAAACTTCCCTTACGGGGGAGGCCTATGTTCAGCAATGAATAGTTAAAGGATGATATGGTTTTTTTTTATGGGTGATAAAGGAATGGTAACCCCACTCGCGCTATTGGTATACCCCGGCACCAGTGAGGGATGATAGATGAAGCAGGTCAGTTAGCCCATCGTGACAAATTCAATAAGAATTGTTCACGATGGTTTCCAGGGAGAACCACGTGGAGGTCGACCTGATAGGGCATATTGCTAGCAATGTTGAACTACATTGCTAACAATCCCTTTCCCCCCGGATGATATGGTTTGGTAATTGTTATTGTATTCAGTGACGTCATTTCTCATTAAAAATATCTTTTATAGGTATTGTCTCACAATAGATTTTCTTTACAACGAAAAAGATAAAGGCATTTTTGTATTATAAGGATTTTGATAATTAATTCCGATTCTCAGTCGGTAAGTCGACCCTTGGGCTATAATTATGCTTTTCTAAGATAATATATTTTTTCCTGTTGAATTATTTTGTATATTGATATTATATAACTGTAAGAATACAATTTGTAGGTAGACATAATCGCAGTGATAGTTTTAATATGCAGCTAATGGGGGGAAGGGATTATTAGTAACGCGGACTACTAACAATAGACTCTCACAGGTCGACCTCCCCGTGTTCCATCAGGAAAATATCCTGCTGAATTCTAAGTGTATTCATCACGATGGTCTAACTGACCTGCCTTTTCATTCTCACGTATTATCGCTCAATGGTGCCCCGCCTGCGTACCCATACCGTTAGCACAGGCGAGGTTACCATTCCATTTTAACCTTCCAAAAAAAAAACTGTTATATTATCCTTTTTTTATATAGAGCTTCCCCATTATTATGATCAATGTTTTATCTTGTCTTGTGTGTTGCCTGATTTATTGGCCTAACCATCGTTTTGGTGTTTGACACTAAGACTGCCTTTTTGTAGTCACCTGTCACTTTTAGACGTTTCAAATTGTTAATATCTCTACGCGCATTATTACCATCGTTATCATTGTGTATCCTCACCATCATTTTCCTACACTTTTTAATTTGTGATCAGTTTAATATGTTTTCCTGTTTCATTTTTATCCAATTGTAGTAATTTCTCTATCCAGGCAATTCCTATTCTGACCCTATCATCTTTCACAGTTTATCCAAATCTTTTTAGACCTTCTGCTTGTCCTGCTTAAGTATCCAATTATGCATTAAAGAAAGAATTTAGCATAGACCCTTATTCAGTTTCAAATGTCAGGCTTGTCTTTTTCCTATTGTTATTTGATTCGAGTGGTTTCAGTTATTGTTGTAATTATGCCTTAATAAAAATTCTCATTCGATTTAAAAATTGTAGCAAAGAAGTCATTAAAGATAATCGCTTCTGTATGTTAAAATATACTAGTAAAGGGAGTCGCACAAAAATTAGGGGTCATGTCAGAAAAACATATGTCGAGTTTCCACTGCGTATAATTTTATAATTTTTTAAAAATACCACCCATATTAGCTGTCACAAAGTACTTTCGGGAGCAATATTTTAGACAATTTCTTTTATTAAGATAGTAACTTTACTAATATATTAAAAGTGTAACTATTGTCTGCCTGTACATGGGAGAATTAAACAAATATATTTTGAGGAGTCTTAGTAAGGGCAATAGAAGCTACTCGTAAAACAATTTTTTATAGAAATTTTGCTTGTTTGTTTGTCTGTATGTTTATTACGGCATCACGAAAAAACTACTATAGTGCATTCCTGAAGCTCTAACTTAAAATCTGGTGTATGCTTACCTTAATACATCATCTAGAATGGTCTACTTCATTGCTTATCTTACTTTTCAAATCACATGTACGCATAGCGTACAAAAAGTTAATAATGATATAAAAAAGGTTAAACCAAAAAATTTATAAGTACATTTTGCTCCAGAAAAAAAGCGACTGATATGTTTCATAAATGTATTACATTTAAAATACCTTAGAATGCGAAATTAGGAGTATGCATGTGTAGATTGTGATTCGCAATATTCTGTTTTTATTGCCTAATAAAGAAACGAGTATTAATCTTATAACATATATATTCTATCGATATCAAAAAAGGGAAGATTAGTACAGAAATAGTCACATAATTGCACAGTAAAACAGAAGAATTTAAAACTTTCTTCTTTCAGAAACCACTGACTAGTAAAGCATAATTTTTGTAATAAATGATTAAACATTTTTTATAAACAACCGAAACTTGAGATTTCAGATTGGAGAAGGTTCGATAAATGCATTACATAAATTAAGTGCCTTTTGACAATATTGAACTTGAATTCATTTTGACTATTATAAATTGAAAACAATAATAAGATTATTGCGAATATTAAAAAAAATGAATGAGTATACTTAATTTGCATTATACAATATAGGAAATAAGCAAGACAATTTACAAACACAACGATACAATTGTATATGTACAGTAAGGCGGTCTTATTGCTGAGGGCAATCTTTTCAAGACAACCTTAAAGTAATGCACTAATTGATGTACAGGTATAATTAAGAAAGTATCTTTTGCAAAAAAATTTTAGTATGGGAGAGACTTTTTGTTATTTCTCGATAAACTTTCATTTGAAGAAATATCCAGTTTAGAATGCAGAGAACTTTCTTAAGTATTGGCATTAATATTATTTATTTCATCTGTATAGTATCATTGATAAAGAGAATTTATTAAATAAAACTGTACGTGAGTGTACCGCTGAATGTAGTTTGAAAATTACACTTACTTTGTACATATCATTGATATCACATCCTCTAACATGGATAAAGCACTACAAGCACTCGACCGCACTCTCTCAGTTGTTGGAATATCAGTATTTAATAAAAGCAATTGGGATACGAAAGGATGGTTTGCATTTCAGATATCCAATGTCATTGTCAGCTTCACTTACTTTGTTGTGTCCACTATTTTTGTTTTTATAAATACTACTAATATCACAATATTCATTCAAGGATCAAGCATTTGGGTAATTGGATTAACAGTTCCCTTATGGCTAGCTATGTGTTTAGTTTTGAGAAGGAATTTCCGTATGTTTCTGGAAGAAATGGTATTCGTTGATTGCTTATTAGATATGCCGTTTCTTAAACTGGTTCTTTCTGAAGGAGAAGGGACCAAAACAACCGAGTTGAAGCATTTGATAAACAGTACACAGACAGCATTGTTTAAGTATTCAAGGATGCTGCTTCTATTTTATTTATGGTGCACTTATATGGTATACATCTTGTACGTTTGCATTCCCATTTATGAGATAATTGTTACTAATGATCCGTCTCTACGACCTTTGGGTAAGTAATTTTGCTTTACATTATTCTTTACTATTGTATTCATGTGTACGTTTGTTTAATTGTTACATATGTATAATATGTATGTGTTTATGAATATTATCAATAGTTTCATAATAACTTTTAGTTTTGCCTACATGAGTACTCTAAAAATACGATATATTAAAATGTCAAAACTACCTTATTTTGCATTCGAATATTAAAAACAATTATTATTAAAAATACGAAAACCTGAATAACATTTTTTACTTGAAAATTTATTCTTATTTTACTGTTAATTTTGTTTCAGCATTCGGCATGTGGTTCCCGTGGGATTTAGAGAATTTATATGTTTATAGCTTTACGTTTATATATAACTTTTATTTTGGGAATTTGTGTTGTATCGGTAATTATACATTAATTTACATGTTATTCGTAATTATAATAATTTGCAGTTATTCATAGTCCATCGCTGAACACAGGTTTCATCAAAAAACCGCCTAAAGGAATAGTTCTGAGTAATATGCATGCAATGCCTTCTTTTAATAGAATAGGTCTTCTCTAGTTGATGGTCGACTTACACTGTCGTGTTGTAACGTCATTGTAGAAACTTTATTCTCTATTAGGCAGTTAGTGCTTAGAGCAATGTGCTCTGCCTATGGCCACTAAACAAAAAAAGTAAAGTTGTTTAGATGTTTACGCTATTGGATAAGAATGTTTGTATACAATTGGACGTCATCGTAAATTAATACATAGTTAGAATACCATTATGGATGAGTAATATATGCCAGTATCTAATATTGTAGTTACAATATCTATATATTGGTCCATTAAAAAATATGTAAAATTTTGGTTGTCCAAAAAATAATATTGAAATGGAGCGTCCGATTGAAACTAATGGAGATATCCGACTACTATGAGCGGTATCAAAATGGGTGATAAACTTTTCCTCCGCCATCCTACCAGGGAAACCCAATATATAGATATCGATACTAATATTACCCATGCATAATCTAATCTTAGCTGAAGTATATCCTAATATATAATGATGAGAATGGAAGCAGAATAAATGCAGTCAAATTATAAGCATTGCGCAGACTGAGGAGTAAATATGGCAGATCGCATTCATAATATAGAAGTGCAAGAGCGGATTGCTTTGAAAGAAAGTGGCGATGTTTAAATGAGAAAGATCATGCTACGCTAGTTTAGGCATATAGAAAGAATGCCTGGTCATTGTTTAAACCAGGTCCTTGGTCAAAATTTGTGTATTTTATTAAACACTTTATTTTTTTTTGTTGCTATTGACACGATTTTTGTGTATCTCTTGATGCAAATAAAGAGTTTGTTTATGTGTCCATCTATTACTGTGTAATGAAACTGATATGTACGAATAAGTAGATATATTGCGAAAGTGGATGAATGTAGTTACTGGGGATGCAACAACAAAGGTATTTGGTGTAAATGAAATTAAGGTTATATGAATTAACAACTGGTCATGGTAAATGAGTGAATATATTACTGTTGTAGATTTAAATGTTGGTTTTTTGTTACTTAGTATTAAAAATTTAGGATATTTTTTATTTTAATTCATGTAAGCATATTCCCCGAGTCTCGTGTTATAGCCAGTGTTTCTCATATAATTTATATGTTTTAGTTTCAATATAATTATATAGATTATTATTTTTAGTATACTCTGGTATACAACTAATGATTGTACTACTTGTTGGCCAAAAGATACGTCATTTGAAAGTGTTGACGTTCATTCTTCTGAACCTGGATGAATTGGCCAAGGAGTTTGTGAAGCAGAATAAAGAACAATGGCAAATCTTTTGCACTGCAGTACTTATACAGTGCGTGGATCATTATGTAAAACTAAAAAAGTAAGTAATATAATGGCCAATCTGTTTATTTGTCTAATAACAGATATAAAATTATAAAGAAACTGATAAGGTATGCCAGCGTAATTATCCTTTGAAAGTATGTCTTCCAGTCAACTCTAAGAACCCGAAAGGAGAAAGTATTTATAGGGTTTATATAGTAACCTATATAGGGCATACATAATATTCTTTTATTTATATTATATTAGGCGTTAAATGTCCACTGCTTTTTATTATAACAGATCGTTATTTGTTAATCCTTGTCGGCTGCCCACGATACAGGTTTCCCTAGTGCGAGGCCCATTGTATTTTGTGTTTGTAACTTTGTATTTTTGTCAAATAATCAATTTCTGATTTCTAATCTATTATAAATATAAATAAGTCCGTAAATTTATAACGAGATTGTTACAAATTAATGAGAGATAGATAAATAGATAACTAAATTTTACGAAATTTAATTATATTAAAATATGACCTAAAAAGAACAGGAGTAAACTCATATATATGAGTTTTCATAGTGAATGGAGCATAAAACATAAGTAAGAATAAATTCAAGGAATATGTTCGCTAGTCCTTCTTCTTATCGAATTCGATACGCTATTGTTTGAACAGTAGCGGTAATTATAATGTATTCAGGAACAGATATCATCTGCCTCACGACATGTCGCCGTCTCATTATTGAACATTATTTCTCATTATTGGCTGCCATTTCTCACTAATGGCTACTATTTCTCACTATTGGCTGCCATTTCTCACTATTGGCTATCATTTCTCACTATTGGCTGCCATTTTCCGCAATTGACCGCCATTTCTCACTATTAACCACGATTTCTCACTACTGGAGGTCGTTTATCATTACTGGCCGCCATTCCGTACAGAAAACTGCTCACTGCAAATTTCACTTGGTCGGTTCACCCATCTACGAGTTCTGGTAATGTCTATTATATATATACATATATCATCATAGTCGTAGAATACTGACGGATCTTTATATGTAATCTTCGTCAGATCCGTCAGTATTCTTCGACTATGACGATATATCTTTTATAAGAAGTCGCTTTATCGAGGTTTCGTTTCTTGGTGAGAAGTGACCAGAAATATAAAGATGCCCGATTGTTGTGGATAGAAGTTGCGTAATGATAATAAGATTATTAAACTATATTAAAAAATACATCGTGATATATTCATTTTATGTTGTCTATAAAATACTACAAATTATATTTGACATTTCTCCACAGATTTAGTAACAAATTGAACAAAACATGTCAGCCTTTCTACTTGTCTATTATTATGGTGGCTACTACGCTTTTTTGTCTGTGTTCAGTGAAAATCGCTATATCTGTAAGTAGTGGAGCCCAAGCATTTTACAATAATACATATCTATATTAATAATATATATCTGAAAGGAATTTTTTACTTATTTGTTTTTGAACGGTTCAATTAAACGTTATCAAATTTGGTTTTCTCCAACCCTTATCATAAATGTACATTTATAGTGTGGGTAGAGAAGAATATAGAATACCCATGTTTTATCTCGTGCAAGTTGGTTTGTACGTTTACATATTTGAACGCGTTTATTTGTAAGACGTTTCTAAACGTCGGATGTAAATATTGTATTAAAAATTAATAAAATGGATTGGATTGTTAATTAATTATTATCCTAGCTTTATCATATTAGTATATTTTAATTCTACGTTAATTTAGAACATATTTAAGACTTTTAAAATACAAGTAATAAACTTAATGTAATATTTGAGACACGAATAGCTAAATATTTGTTGAAAGTAATATAACATTAACGTGACACGATTGTTGCAGGATAAGCTAGCGCTGGATACCATGAAATATTATGTCATTGAATTTTGCTATATAATGGTTATGATGGTATATTGCTTCTTGGGACAGCAAGTTGACAATGAAGTAAGTTCTTATATCTTTATAATTAAACAAAAATAAAATTTCTGGAACTAGAAAGGGCACAGAGATCGCTGTTAAAGGTGATGATACTTTAAACCATTTCGGTTCCCTACTGAAAGCCATTACGTAATATCCGATCTTCTGACTGTAAGAAAATTATATGTACTTCAACTTACATTCAAAAAACATAAATCACTAATATTTAATCCTGAAAAGAATAAAAATAGAAGAAAACACAAAGTAGCTGATACAATCACAGTTAAAACCACATATGCAAAAAGACAATACACCAGTCAATAATCGAAAATATATAACAATTTAAATAAAGAACTCGGTATATATTCACTCGATTATCATAAATGTCAAAAGACGCTGATTACTTGGCTTAAAACCAAAAGTTACGATGAAATAGAAAATTAATAATTAATTATAAATTAATAAATAAGAATAGTCTGGAATCAAAAATAACCATATAAATAATAAATAAAAGGTACAAAAATTATTATAATTAAATAAATATTATTAAAATTACGATTAGTGACATGCTTTGGTGTCGCATCGGTGTGATTTATTACAAAATATTAGATTCATTTATTTGCCATCATTATTATCATATTAGTCGTTTACTGTTCGTCGCTAAACATAGGCAATGCGCTTCGCTTGGCAGGTGGATTAGCAACCGCGGTTAACTATTCATTGCTGAATATAGGTTTTGCCAGTAATTGCACACTTGGTCGGCGAGTTGGAAATTGTAGTGATAAATTTATATATTTGAGGTATTTTCAAAGTTTATTTGTATTTGTTTTGTCTCGTGCAATGAATTGAAGAATAGTTGGATATGAATAAAAACAACGGTAATTTAGTAGAAAAAAATATACTAAAATATCAGGTAAATATAAGATTTAACTAGGATTTTATCAAAATTTTTTATTTTAATTTCAGTGCGAGAAATTAGATATAGCTGTCACCGAAAAGTGGTATATATATAACAGGCAACACAAAATAAAAATGCGCATTTTTAAAATGGCGACCGGTCAGAGAATGCCTATATATATATTTGGAAGTGTTACATTATCATTGCCTACTTTCACTTGGGTAAGAACAAATATATTTTTAACTGTAATCTCGTATTACTGGTATAAGTAGAAATAATCAAGAGTGTACTCGTATATGTTGTCATAGTGTCAATTCTCATTACAATTTACAATAAATATTTACATAGATAAAAAAATGATAATGCGATAAGGAATTAAAGTACGCGGTGTGTTCAGAAAATAATGGTAATTTTTAAATTATGTGGTTTTGTAGAGTCTGATAGTTAGTTTTTTTCATCTTGGTACATATATCATAAAATTTTCAGTTATATTCATTGTTTATTTTTTCTGTGGAAATCGTTAAGGTTAGACGTATATTTGTGAGTTCGGTGGTTTTCGTTTGTTAAAAGAAATGGATCAAAGAACTTGTATCAAGTTTTGCATAAAAAAATAAAATATATGGAGCATCTGTTATGAGTAAAATAAAGTTTACGAGCAGCATAAGCATTATTGAGATGGTCTTCAAGACTAGATGTTGAAGATAGACTATAGACTAGAATATATAATAAAGCTCTGGACACCCCAGCTTCATTGTTCGTGAATTTTTGGTCAAAAACAATATTATAGAGATGCCCCAGTCTCCATATTTGCCAGGACTAGCTCCGTGTGACTTTTTTCTATTTCCAGAAATAAAGAGAACTTTAAAAGGCCGTTGTTTAATAGCCATAGATGATATTAAAACCGCATCGCTGAAAGAACTAAAGGCTATCCTAAAGATCGAGTTAGAGAAGTGTTTCGAGAATTTGGAAAAGCGTTGGCATAAGTGCATAGAAATTTAATGGAAACTATTAAAGGCGATAATATTAATGTAGACGAATAAATATTTTTTGTTATTATTAAAACAAAATCCGTTATTTTCAAAACACATATCGTGCATACATATTAGAAATGTCATATGACATACATAATTATTTGTAACACTACTGTTTTATCATAGCAAAGAAAAATGAAATATTAATGTTTTGATACCTAATACGTATCTATGTTTTTTTTTTACAGTTCATTAAAACGGGAATGTCCTGTTTCACATTAATGATGTCGGTGATAGAAGATTGAAATTAATTTAAATAGTATAAAACAAAATTTATTAAAATTAATTTAGTGTGGAACATTAGATTGCAATGAAAAAAAAAATAAAACAATTAAAATATATACAAAAAAGTATTAAATGATGAAAATAAACTTCAAAATTATTGATCTATCTCATTCTTGCATTTGGAAATAATAAAGTAGTCACAATAATAAATGTTCTTTTCTTTTAACCATAAACATGGAATAGCAAATTAGCTGCCGGCCTACCTGATGACAAGTGATAACCGTCGCCTATAGACTTAATCAGTCCTCTAGATAGGATAGAATACTCTGTGATGCCTATGGCATCCTCATAAGTTGCCATTTCTGAGAACTAAAATGATATACACTGTATTACTATAATATCAAAATAGTTCGTTAAAACAATTCGTAAAGAAACGTCGTACTAAATGACGAGAAACTGATTTATCTATGTCCGAACACTGAAGATACTGCTAATCATAGGCCTAATTTACTAGAAGGAAAAATACTGAGTCACCTACAATCTTCAAGTTGGAGTAGGACAGGGAATTGTTAATGTGAGGACTAGTAGTGCCGTTGCTAGAAATATATAATCTTTAATTGACTTCCACACGGTTCATCTTGGAAACCATCGTGGTCGAGGGATTGTTAGTAATATACCTTATCAAATTACCTCCACGTGCTTTCCTCTGGAAACTATCATGGTTAATTCTTGAATTTTTCACGATAGGCTAACTGATATGCTTTCATCCTTACCTATTAGCAGTCACTGGTGCCTAGCTAGCGTATACCTTTAGCGCAAGCGGGGTAATCATTCCGTTATCATGCATTAAAAAAGGATTGTGGTTGATTCTTCGGCCTTGTTCCTGATTTTATCCTCACCTATCTTGCATTCAGCTCTGGCAGTACATATCAATAGCATAAGTGGGGTTACCATTACATTTTTATCTCATAAAAACCTCTATTTAACTTATATGGAAATATATACTCACTTGAATATCGATACAAAATAAGAAGATAAAAGATGCGGCTAAGGTAAGTAGTATTCGAAAATATCAAACTTCGAAATATATTAAACAAAATTCTATTTGATAATTATTTAAGACCAGTTATATTCAGCTATTTTACAAATTGGTAAAATAGTTTAGTAGCAAGTGAGTGAATAAACATTTACTCGTAACTACGTTTCGAAGGTTCTGCTATGGAATCCAAGAATAAATTTGAAGAATCTCTGAATTTTTCAAATTTATATTTGTATCCTTTAAAAATTATTGTCTATTGTGTCGAGCTTTTGATAGCACGTAAGACTATTGAACAATAAGCCATTTTAAAGATTTGTGACTGTCCAAATGTAACAAATAGTAAGTAGTAGTAGTCCGAGATAGGTTTTACAGAAAAGACAAAAATTAGATCATGATTTCAAGGGCATGCTCTAGAAAATATACGATGTATCTATGCAAAATGTGGTCAAAGTAAGCGTCGAGGGATGGATTGAGAATGGGTGCATTGAATTTGCGAGAATGAATAATTAATCCCTTTAACTAAAGGTCGTCTGTAAGAGATTGCTCTAGCTATAAGATCACCTTTTGTACGTTTATGAATGTTTTAATTTATACTATATGCAATTGTATTTCACTTGAGTTTTTTAATTGGTGCAATAAAGTATTAAATAAATAAATGTCTTAACAATTGCGTAAGTATGAAATAACTGGAGATAAATACAAGAGTGCGATTGTTAGGTAATAAACATCTCATTTATTACCTAACAATCGCACTCTTGTTAGTAGAGCTCGCCACTTGCAATAATTTTTGGCGGGTCACTTTACTTCTTGATACAACACTATAACAATATTTTTCTTAATCTCTTTGATATAATTTCTTGATTGATGAATGTGGAAGAAGCGAAAGAGGTTTATTTGAATCGAAGCATTTTTCGTACATTGTTTCTGCCTACCCTAATGGGAGACAGGCGTGACAGATATGTATGTATGTATATAATTTCTTCGTCTTTGCCTCTTTTTGTTTATGAAGTCGACTCTCCTTATCCTGAAGGGAATTGACACGATCATTTAGGTAAAGTATGATAATTTACCAAAGTTATATCGACGTTCCGATCAAGTTATATCGGCCATGATCATGAGAACTGATGTAGGGCTGTCATGTCTCTGTTTCCGAAGCAGAAGTTTCTTCTTCTACTCATTCGTTGTTCCACTATTTATTTTCAGTCACTTCTTTGAAATAGGGGATATAGGCAGCCAGTCTAGATATTATCACTCTTAACTTACAGGGTATAGGTTTCTTTTCAATATCTCATGAACACGTTCAAGCATGGGCTCTGTTTTTGAGTGACGTCATCACAAATTTTAATTGATGTGGTTGTTACGTGTAAGTACGTATCCTTAACAAGATCTTATATGGTTGCGCGGTGACTTTAATATCTAGAACGACAGCAATTTGTCCATTTATATTTCATATGTGAACCTGTTTGGCTGAATCGAGTTATAATGCTGCATATATGGATCAATTTCCTATTTATTTTCTTTTATCTTACAGAAGATGTCATCCACATATCTTTTACATGGCTTGATAGTGCTTGGACTTCGGCTTAATACTTTCTCTTTAAACTACTCCATTTAGAGATTTGCTTATCTGGGGCTACGGGACATTCCATTGCAACATCATCGATCTAGAGATAGAGATAGAGATAGAGTAGGAGCCGCCTCCTTCTGCGACATGACGGCGTCGCAGAAGGCGAGCATCGCTTCCCACGATCTTTCACTGCTCACCATCTGCCGAACCACGGCGGGCAGTGAGAGATCGGTCCCCACTACCGCGGACAAGATACGACGCTCATCGGCATACGCTGGGCACTCCTCCAGCGTATGCTCCGCCGTGTCCTGGTCCGCTCCACAAGCATAGCACTCCTCTGTCAGCTCCCTGCGCGCGACATGAAAGCTGACGGCCCACCTGATGGAAAGTGGTAACCGTCGCCTACAGACATGAGCAGTATTATGGACATAACAGAGTATACTGTTTCGCCCATGATACTATCATAAATACATATTACATTATCATAATATCTTCTGGTTACAATATGATGGATTTGATAATATGGACGTAAAGATACGTCCTTATTATCAATAAAGTATACATTGTACTCTTAATCAATTCTACTTAACAAGCCAACAGATAAATTGCTTTCATTTTCACCTATCATTTTCTAATGGTATATTGCCATGTCACTACAGCGAAGGAAAATTACCATTTCATTATTAACTATAAAAAAAATATTGAAATTATGCCTTTATAAAAAGTTCATTTGACTTAAAAATAGTAGGAAATTATTAAAGAGATTATTTTTTTTCTATGAAAACGTTATTAAAAGGGGTTCCGCAAATATTAGTGTTTATGTCAGAAAAACACATGATAAGTTCCCACAATAATATCATTTTGTAATTTTTTAAAATACCATCCTTAATATTTGTTGTGGCAAAGTACATTCGAGAACAATCTTAGTTATTTAAAGGTAGTAATACAAATGTTTAAAAAAATGCTTCTACTAATAGAAGCATTTTTTTTAATATTCATCTAAATGAACAAAACATTTGTTTTGTTCATCTAATAAAAGTATAAAATTTGTTGATATAAAGCTACAAAAAAAAAAATGAAAACTGTTTTTGGAAGTCGAAGTAAATGTATTAAGTAAATTTTTATCCTTAACCTGAACTAACGTTGATTATTGTACTTTAAAAACATTAATATATTGAAATGAAATGAAATGAATGAAATGAAATGAAATGAATTTATTTTGCTAGAATGTAGGTAGTTTTCGATGAAAGAGGTTTACATTTCCCATATACATTCTGCCTCTATGTCAGCGTGCAAATTATTTATTAATACTAATGATTACAATAATAATAATTATCTGCAATTTCTCTGATGGCTCGGGTGCTTTTGGGCTCATGTTCGTTTACCTACTATATTATATAAAAAATAACACTATAATTTTTATGAGTACCTTTCAGCTGTCAAGAATTTTTTTAGTTTGGATGTTAAATGGTTAACACTGGGCTCTGAGCAGCGATCTAATAATTTGTCTGAATTTGTCTCATTTAAAGGTGAAACATGTGTTGCAAAATGTGCGTGAACAAAATGACAATCGGAGATTGATGGCTATGGTTACGGAACATCTGGTAGCATAAGTGGTGGTCAATCTTTGAGCGACGGCAGTCGCACACATACTAATGACAGCCAAATTAAATTAAATATTTCTAATCAAATAACGTTTAATATACAGGTTTTTGTAAATTTATTTATAAATTGGAAGGAGAATTTTATTTAACAGGTATATTAGAACAATCTTTTAAAAGGACAATACGAGTAATGATACAATTCCATCTGTAACTTGTTATTTTTGTATGTATCGCTGATATAGAATGTTTAATAAATAAATCTGTATGTGAGTGTACCGCTAAATTTAGTTTGAAAAGTACATTTCCCGGTTACAGATCATTAAATTACATTCTCTAACATGGATGAAACACTACAAGTATTACACCGCGTTCTCTCAACTATTGGTATATCAGCATTTAGTAAAAACAGTTGGGATACAAAGTCGTGGTTCGCGTTCCAGATATTCAATGTCATTGTCGGCTTATTGTGCTTTATTTTTACCACTGGATTCGTCATTACAAATAATTCGAATGCCACAATTTTTATTAAAGGCTCATGCATTTGGGCGATTGGAGTAGTAATGTTTTTATGGCTGGCTCTGTGTTTAATTTTCAGAAAACGCTTTCGTATGTTACTGGAAGAAATGGTATTCGTTGACCGCCTATTAGATATACCCTTGATTAATCACGTTCTTTATGAAGGAGACGGGGTGAAATCAATTGAGTTGAAGCATTTGGTGAACAATACAAGGATGACGTTATTTAAATATATAAAAATGCTGCTAAAATTTTATTTAATTTGTGTTTATGCAATAGTCATTCTATATGTCATCAGTCCCATTTATGAAATGCTTATTAATAAACATTGTCTACGACTTTTGGGTAAGTAATTTTAATATTATTCTTTACTAACTATTGCATTCGGCTATGCAGGCATGCTATCGTGGAGCGCCTTTAAGTTCAAAGTTTTAAAGATCTTTTTTTATATCAGATCCTTAAGTTAATTAAACGTACGTTCCAAAGTTAGGACAAACGATTTTTTAGGTATAGATAAAGTCGTCAAATGTAATGAATACTCATGAGTATGTCTGTTTATCTGTTGATTTTTTAGTTTGTGTATTTATTTATTTACTTTATACTTTATTGTACATACTAATAATATATAAATAAATGTGCCATGGGAAAACAAATATACAAAGGTGAACTTAACTCTTAGAGTTTTCTCTCCAGCAATCTTAAAGTGAAAAAGAGAATCAATGCCAGCGGCTAGAGCAGTGTACAATATTGTGACAATTTAAAAACAAAAAGAGTTGGACAAACTTTGTTCATATATAACCAATTATATTATATTTAATTGTATATATACAAATTTACATACACATATAAACACAACTATATACTTACATATTCATATAAATAAAATATGTTCATAAGGATAGAAAATGCTCTTTAAGTCTACTCTTAAAAATGTTTAGTAATTTACTCTCAAGAATAGGCACGCGTAGGAAGTTCCACAATCCAGTAGCGTGGACTGTAAAGATACATATAAAATATGTATATGTTCAAAAAGGAAAATGTATTTAGAAATGACTATTAGTGGTTTAGTTGAATACCCTTGGTTTTGGTTGGAAAACTTCTTAAAAAATATTTTGAAGTTTCACAACTAGTTTGCAAAGCAAACCAAGCTAGTACTAGAGTACGACTTGCTATATAAAAATAGTAATAAGGATACTTAAAAATATGAATGTGTTAACAATATTTTTCAATTTAAAACTCATTTTAAATGTAATATAATTTTTTTTTCAGCATTCACCATGTGGTTTCCGTGGGATTTAGATAATTTATACGTTTATATCCCAACGTTTATATACCAAGTTTATGTTGGGAACTTGTGTTGTATCGGTAATTATATATTGTAATATTTTGTAATCGTACCGCTTACAATCGACAGGGAATTCATCCGCATAGAACATAAATTATCGTAAAAAGTGCGGTTTTATAGTAGTTTTCTACTGCGAACGCATAGGCTGTGGAATAAGGTCCCTGCTGAGGTTTTCTCTAGAGAGTATGGAATGAAGTGCTTCAAAAAGGGTTTATTAAGTTTTTTCCAGGGTCAGCAACGTAATATTCCAATATTGCAGGCGTCCATAGGCTTAAATGACCGTTTACCATCAGACGGGCTGTAAGAGTATGCTTGTTTACCACTACACTGTTTCTCCCTCTATCTTTAAAGATAGATAGAGAAATAGTGTGATTCGAGAGAGAGAGACAGAGATGTGGGCTGAAAGATGATGTAGTGATAATTGTTAATTTGGAGTGGTTGGATGCAAGAAGAATTACGAAATAGATTTATTGAGCAAGAATGAATGGAGATGTCGGTAGAGGCCGTCCTAGATGGACATATGTCGACCAAATAGGCAACGTGCTGAAGAAGCACTAAATAAAAAGATTGATGAATGTAGAAGAAACGAAAGAGTTTTGTTTGAATCGAAGCTTTCACGTTCTATTGTTACTGCCTGTCCTAATGGGAGACAGGTGTGATATGTACGCATGAAAAGTTAGTATACAAGTGGATATTATCGCGTTTAATATAATAATACCATTATGTTCTTTTCGTTAATTTAGGATGTATATTTTTATTATTATTTATATAGGCACAACTGCGAGTTACGGCTACTGTTTCTAGTGCATTATATTTTCTAGTTTTATACGTATATGTTATTTTTAGTATACTGCGGTATACAAGTAATGATCATATTACTCATTGGCCAGAAGATACGCCATTTGAGAGTATTAACGTTCATTCTTCTGAACCTGGACGAATTGGCCACAGAGATTGTGAAGAAAAATAAGGAAAAATGGCAAGACAATTGCACTGCAGTGCTTATACAGTGCGTGGATCATTATATAAAACTAAAACAGTGAGTAATGTAATGAATAATCTGGTCACAAACTATATGTTATAATTTGTGACGAAACTGTGTTATAAATTAACGCAGACAACATATAAACTGTAACGAGATTTTGTCACTAATTATATATATATTTTTTGATTAAATTATTTATTTTATTTAAATATGACATTCTCCACTTTTGCCAAATCAAATGATAAAAAAGCTCTGTTCATTAAACGTCATTTAACAGCGTTTTATATGGTTTACAAATACTATAATATTCAAAATAATATCCAAATTTCCCCACACCGATATTATTTCTCCGAAAATTTCCCCAACAATTCCATTCCGTCAAAATTCTTCAAATACTATTTATTTTTACTGAAATTATGAAAATAATACTCAATCTTGTGAATTTACAGGGTACAGAGGAATAACACCTGAGTCCTCAGGAATGGCAACGCATGGGGGGTATCATGGGCGCAACAATATGTGTGTGTACTGTTATGTCCATGATACTGCTCGTGTCTATAGGCGACGGTTACCACTTTCCATCAGGTGGGCCGTCAGCTTGTTTGCCATTCTAAGATGTATAAAAACAAATCTGGCATAATGTGGCAAGTGTAAGGGGCAGATGTCATTCGCGTCATGATGTTTCACTATTTTTCATCATTGGCTGCCATTGAGTGAGACTTGATCAAAAAATGTAAGGATACGCTAGTATTGTTGATAGACGCAGCATATATAATAAGATTAATAAATTTTTAATAGATTTAGTAGTCACAAAACAAATAAAAAAAATAATACACGTATGTTTAAATTTATTTGATATTATGAGATAATTTACTATAATCTAAACTGTAATCATAATTATAATTTAACGTTTCTCTACAGATTCAGTAACAAATTGAATACAATATGCCGGCCTTTTTACTTGACTCTTATTACGGTGTCCATTACACTTGTCTGTCTGTGTTCAGTGAAAATCGCTATATCGGTAAGTACCTAATTACACTATATCTTGTTTCCTGTATTTTTAATAATTTATAGTCATATTTCTTTTGTCAAACTTAGAATGGCGAACAAGCCGACGGGCCTCCTGATCGAAAATGGTAACGCTTATAGAGATGAGCAGTACCATGGACATAACAGAGTATATTGTTTTACCCATGATCCCCCAACCCCCTCTATGCGTTGCTATTCCTGAAGAATCAGGTATTATTCCTCTGTACTCTGTAAATTCACTGTCATATCCCACTCTTTAAGCCGAAACACAGCCATGCAAACACAACTGTTTAACGGTAGAAACACGAACGGGATAGAGGTGCCCAAGTTGTACAAAGTTTGTACAAAGTTTCGCTCTAGTATTTTATACAAAGTAATACTCTGTTGACCATTATAATACATACACAGTTTGTCGTGCAGTCCCGGCACAGGCACCATTTCCTTTCTCGTGGGTGTCGTAAGAGGCAACAAGGGAACTTAAAAGTCGAGAGATGGGCAGCAGCGTTTCTCTTAAAAGATAAAAGCCTAATTGTGGTTGCCAAACTGCCTGTCTTGCCTAGCGAAAATAATTGTAAAAAATTGTTTAGTTAAGCATTGGTGAAGTATACTCGCTTGCAACCATACTTCGCTAATTCTAAAAACAGAGGAAAATTAGAAAAAAAAAAACAGAAAGAAAGGAATATTTATTTATTACGAAGATTCTTTTCTCGGAAGTCACTAAAAATACAGTGGAATTTCAACATTTCTTTTTTTTAATTCTACAATTGAATTTATCGTAAAAAATGCGTATACAAGTTTATACCAAATTTTATGAGAACTTGTTAAAATGTTAATGTTAGTATCACTAAGGGTAACCTTTAGTAACAAACAAACAATTTCATTATTTGTCAATAAGTAACAAAATATTTAGTCTGTACGTAAGTTTCTTCAGTTGAATAGTCTAAGTGCAAATATATTTAAAAATAAATGTAAATATAAAAAAGAACTCTAAAGCCGTTAGCATAAAAGCGATAAGCCTTACACTTCTCGATGCAATCTTCCGAAGGGAACCTAAATAGCGTGCGAGGGAAAAGCCATTGGAGAAGGATTGTAGGCTTACTATGGCTAGAGCTTCAGTTGATGGTATTGATCCGACGAAGATTGCACTTTATATAATATTTAATATAATTTTTATGGAATAAAATATCACAAGTACGGTCAGGAATATATCGAGGCTACTCGAATCCCTCTAACTGAGTTACAGTAAATTATTTGGAGGTTTTTCATATTATAATGTATCGCAAATTTTGGTCCGTTTCTACTTGGTAAAATGGTATCCGGGACAAATCTGCCCCACCTGCATACTACAATACGCTATCGGGGAAGCTTATTGTGATACACTCATCTAAGACTCCACGCCATCAGTTCTTAATTTATGAGGATGAAATAAATATTAATTGTTATTTTATTTTAAATTTTATAACTTTCAATTATATTTTCCTAATATTTTATATATCAATTCGATTTTATTGCACTAATTAATCGCAATCCACCAAAACAAATTTAGTTAACTTGTTGCCAATTGTAACAAACGGCAGCGAGTTAATTACGGTTTAAAATTAAATTATTTACGATGTTTATTTTTGACATTATTGAGTAATATAATTAATTACTTTTATTCCCATTGTTTTTGCCTAACCAGAAATTCTCTTCTGAGAGACAGGCGTGATAGATATGTATGTATGTATGTAGTTTTATTATTTTTATCTTTTACATTGATTTGACTGTATGTTTTATTATAACATACAATGAAATACACAGTCAATATAATTTGTTTATACTTATCAATTTTAAACCAATAGTATTGTAGATACATATAAGAAAAGTGAATAGGATTTGTAAGGTAAGGCTGTAAGTTTTATATGAGATATGACCAGTTAAATATTTTTATTTAATTTTTTTTATGCAACTTAGAATGGCAAACAAGCTGACGGAAAGTGGAAGAACCTGATGGAAAATAGTAATCGTCGCCGATAGACATGAGGAGTACCATGGACATAACAGAGTATTCTGTTTTGCCTATGATACCCTCACGTGTTATTTACGTGTTATTTCTCTGTATCCTGTAAATTCACTGCCATATCTCACTCTTTAGACCAAAACACAGCCATACAACATTTAGTTTAAATTCTACGTTAAATTATATTTAAGGTAAGCAAATCTCATGTGTAAATGAGATACAACTAGCTAAATACCTATTTGTTGGTAGTAATATAACATTAACATGACACGGACGTTACAGGATAAGCTATCGCTGGACACTATGAAATATTACATCCTCGAATTTTGTTTTATACTCGTTGTGCTGGTAGTTTGCTTATTGGGACAGCAGGTTGACAATGAAGTAAGTTTTATATTTTTATAAGCCGATTTAAAAAGAAGGATAGTATGTAGTCCTCGATTCGGTTGTATTTTTCTTTATGTTTGTTACCTCATAACTCTGTTGATGAACTCTGTTTGTGTTACTATGGCACACGCATGAAGGAATGGTAACAAAGGAGATTGTTAGATTATGTATTTTGTTTTTGTATTATTTTTTTTTATTTGTGCTTTTTTTATTTTTATTCTTTTGTCTCTTTTGCTGTGTATTACGTGTATGTTTGTTTTTTTTTTTATTGTAATTTGTGTGCTGTAAGTAATGTAAATAAATTGTCTATCTATCTATCTATCTATCTATCTATCTGTTGGAAAACCGATTTGGAAAGTTCTTGCCTTATCTTAAAGGATTATACTTGCAGATTGGTCACATAAAAAATTGATTAAAATCGGTTTAGTAGTTTAGTTGAAAAAATAATGTAAAAATTGCTGGTTTTTGTGGAAAATCGGTTTTTTGTGGAACATAATTTTAAAATATCATTTATTACAGGTTAAATTCAAATAATTATTTTCACTAAAATTTTGTGAATCAAACTTTCAAAAACGAAAGAGAATTTTGAGTGTCCTATACTAAATTGATATCTAAACGTGCCGATTCGTGTATGGCAGATTCAAAATATTTGTCTTTTTTCAACTCGCGCTTCGTTGGTGAAAAAGCTTTGTCTAGAACATTCCCGTCAAACGATGATTTTATTTCTTTAATTTTTTTTTAATCCCTAACAAAAATGCAGTTAGTATTTAATTATTTATTTACAAGATTTGTAACAAATTTATATATATACATATATTATATTGTAGTGTACAATGTAAAAATAAATATAAATTAAGTGTTATATAAATCTAATTAGTGATTTAAAAAAATCTTAATTTTAATTTCAGTGTGAGCAATTGGATATCGCTGTTACCGAAAAGTGGTACATATATAACAGACAACACAAAATAAAAATGCGCATTTTTAAAATGGCGACCGGTCAGAGAATGCCTATATATATTTTTGGAACAGTTACGTTATCATTGCCTACTTTCACTTGGGTAAGAAATAATGACACATCTAATAATCACAAATACGAGTATTTAAATAGATTATGAAAATAGTAATACGTCTTGCGTCAGGGGTGTTCTTCTCTAGAAATCTATCCAACTTTAGAATATGCAGTGTCCCACTCCTTTCCGCAATTGCATTGTCCCCCCCTTTCCTTTCCCACATAAGTCCCTTACCAATCATTCACCAATTTCCTTTTCGCTTTTCCAACGTTCCCTTCCATCTTTCCTCAATCCTTTTCTACATACCGTAGGTGGCGGAAATCACCAACAAATGCATTCCCAAAGAGGGTTGACGTTAGGCAGGTGGCCGGTCGTAAAACTAAAACTAAAATCTTTTTGTAATATGGATAAAATCATATTACGCTGACCCCAAATGATTGGGATAAGGGTAGGAAGATGATGATGAAAATAGTACTACGACAAGGCACACACAGTATTTACATATTATATAAGTCTATGTAAAGATTACAATTTCTCACAGCGACATGGTTGGCACAGTTCACTAATACCCAAAGAGTATATAACAAAGAGTTATCCTTTTGTTATATACTCTTTGCACACTCTTATGAGTGCGCACTTCATACAAGCTACATAAAACGACTCGGTCAGGAATATCTTGCCAATATACACAAAAAAATCCTCCTTTTCTCGTTATGTTGCTTTTCTCGCCAGCCTGATGTTCAAAATGATATCGAATAGGTTATAATTATACTACAGTTTGATTGTAGAAACACAAATCATATGACAAATAAAATATATTTTTATGTCAAATTGAATGTTCCCATGAACATTTTTTAGCAACAAAATATAACATTCTTAAATATATTTATTGTTTTATACAATATTATCTTGAGATCTCAATTTCGTAATATTATTGATAGTATATAGAAATTATCAACACTTTCCGTATTATCTGGTCAATTTCTAGAATAGGCCTCGTAATAGAGTCAATTATATATGGTTGTAATTCCCATGTTAAAATAAACAGAAATATGAAATACAGAGCTAAAACTGCTCCACAAATAGTTTAGATGGCAGCCATTTGCATCACATTTGACAGTATTATTATTAGTTAGGTTGACATTATTGTGATATTATCATTAATATCTAATAACTAAACGTTGGCATGATGTTTCCTGACCAAATTCATCCACGTGCAGTTCAATTCTATAGGTGTCAGTTACTATCAATCAATAATGAGTCGTTAATCTGTTTATTAGTAAGTAGTAAAAAAATATTTATGTTTTGATATCTAATACATTGTTACAGTTCATTAGAACGGGAATGTCTTTTTTCACATTAGTAATGTCTGTAATAGAAGATTAAATTTATTTAAATTAAAATTTAAGTTAATTATTTTAACTAATTTTTAATTATATTTCAAACAGTATTAATTAATAATAAAATATGTTATTTATTAATTTATTTATTAAAATATTCTTTTGTTATTTTTGATTATTATTAATTATTAAGTTTAATTAATAAGTACATTAAATAGTATAAGATAATATTATATATAAAATTAATTAATTAAAATTTTCAATTATTGTAAGAAATTAAATAAATAAAGTAACAATAATTAAATTAAAAAATAAACAAGTAATAAATATTAAATTAAATAATAAATAATGAAATTAAACTTTATACTAACATATTTAGTCTTGTATTATGTTTAGCACTTTACACATAATAAAGTAGTCACAATTATTATTATTGTATTTTTTTCAACTGAACCTTTTTGTAAATTATAGTATTTATCTTACACTCAGATACTATACGAGTATACATTCCTTTGTGTCCTTTCCCCCATCAGAATTTGCACATCATAAATTTAAATTTTTATTTGACGCAGTCAATCGCGTCATATAATATAAAATGAGTAATTCTTCGGACTGATACCTGCTGCTGATTTTCACCACAGTACAACCCACCACAAACTAAAGCTTCATCCCAACCATCTAGACGAGTCGCGGTCTTCCTCCGTGCGTTTTTCAAGGCACTTTTTTCCATACACAAACACTCTTTGGAATCAACTTCCAGCAGCATTATTTCCGAACCGATACGACATCATAACCTTCAAGAAAAGAGCATATTCCTTTTTAAAAGGCCGTCAGCACACCTGCAATGTTTTTGGTGTTGTAAGTGATCATAGGCGGCGGTAGTCACTTACCATCAGATGAGCCGCATACTCGTTTGCCCCCCGTGTTATTAAAAAAAAGATTGAACTCCATTAAAAATCGAATTTTATTCTGGCAAAATCAGTTATTTGGATTTAATAACAAAACTACTGAACCGTATTTGATGAAATTTCTATGGGAGTAATCTGTCAGTAAATCGTTTTAGATAAAGAAGAATTTTTTAAATCGGTTCACAACTCAAGGAGTTATGAGGTTTTTTTTTGATGGATGAAAATGGTATGTGCTAACGAGATACGCTGGCGGAGCACCAGTGAATTCATCAAGAATTAATCATGATAGTTTCCACGGAGAACCGCGAGGAGGTCGACCTGGTTGGGTATATTGCTAGCAATGGGATTCTCAGTCTTCATTACTAACAATCCCTTTCCCCCCAGGAGTTACGAGGTTACAAACATAAAAATGTACAACCAAATTAATAACCTACTTTTGAAGTCCTTTCAAAGTCACGTAGGTGTGTCATACATGGAGATTTATTTAAGCTCTTATTGTGGTGCCTATTGCTTGTAAACCTTAACTTAGCTTTCAATTGGACGCGAGTCGTCAGTGCTGTAATATCGTTAATATATATAAATTCGTAGGAGTGTTATTTCTATTAGGATATTATTTCTCATTATTTAGTATTAAACAAACTTCTGGAGGACAGAATTGTGACCTAATTTCAACTAATTCAACAAATTTTAAGATTTATATTATATGTTTTGTTTACTGTTTGATAAAATGCTTGAATCATTATTATTTTAGAAGTAGGTTTTCCATTGTCCAACATAGATTTCTTACAGGAGGAACGGAATACGAATTCCGTCGAAATTAACAAATACAAATCTACGAAGATGTAACTGGCAAATAAAGATATGAAATTAATAGAATGTAGTATATTTTAGTTTCGTTGAGCATGTTCAAATCCAATGTGGCAGAAAATAAGTCTACCACGGATATTGAGATTTAGTTTGGTTTGTTAACTGTGTTAACTATTTCTTTATTCTGTACTATCTAAATTATAGTCTTTCTAGCTTTACCCGTGACATCGTTCACGTTACCTGGATATGTTTACTAACTCGGAAGTGTGTATATCAAATTTCATATTTGGTTAAGCCGTTAAAGCGTTATAAGGTAACAAAATATGTTTACGCAATAATATTGCTTCATCATGTCTAAATCTCGTTATCATATTTAGTTCAATTAATCATAATTTATTTCTAATAGGAAGGATCACAGTTTCTTTCTTATAGTCTATGCTCTGCAACTAGGATTTTCTATGACTCTCTTTCTTCCGTTCAACGCTTGGACAAGCAAGCGTGCCTCTGCGATTATATTTCAGTTATTGAGTAAATTATAAAGTTATAATGTATTTCGATATTGTTTAATCTGAATTATTGTCAGTATGTTATAAGAAATAAATCAGAAAGTGAATTCAGTAATTTTCCGTTTCATTTACTAAGCCATCAAAACCATGTGTGCTCACGATCAAACATTATTTGCGTGGACAAATAAACAAAAAAACTTATTTTTACTCAACATTCATCATTAGAGCATTGCATTTTTTAAACAGTTATGCATCTACTTTTACGAACTAAAAATACAGCCAAATCCAGTGTCAAGTGCAACACATTGGCCAATGTGGAATAATGCCCATGATTACTCCATCTGATGGGACTAAAGGTCTAAGAATATTTAAAATTGTCGTTAGCAGTAGAAAGATTTAATATAGTCATTAGATAAAAATTCTGGTAATTGTCCAATTTATGAAGTACCTACAAGTTGTAGTATATAAACTAACTAGTCTCTTTATAAAATATATGATTTAATTTGAAAATAGCGAATGTTTAAGAAGTCATTAAAGGGACTAAACTATTTATTACAAAAAAGAAATATTAAAGGGTGTCGCTCAAATATCAGTATTTATGTCAGAAAAACACATGACTATTTCCCATCGTACATATATGAATTTATCATTTTTTTTAAACGCCAGCTTAATATTAGCAGTGACATGTACATTCGAGAACAAATTTTCTGTCAATTTATTTCAAGGTACGAGAACACTTATAAAATGTAAAGATTGAAAATAAAGATGAAGAAATACTTTTAAAAATTATAAATGGAATTCTCTTTTATTTTATTAATTGGCTGCATAGTACCAGGAATGGATAATTGGCAAGGACGCAAGGTTTTTAAGAAGCGACTCTGATAGGATAAAAACTAGAGTTAGTATTTCAGTTAATAGTTTTCTTGGAAGAGGTTTCTTTGAGAAAAAAATAATAATTGAAAGTAATTCATTACATTTATTGCTTTCTAAGATGGATGACCGATGAGGATGCAATGTTCTTAATTGTTTGGCTGTGTATAGGTAAGTACAGTGTAGAGTGTACATTAGAACTTATACCTTTAAAAAGATTCGAAAATTAGTATTTTTTTGTTATGTTTAATAAAAATTATGTGGCCTGCATAGCTTAAGGAGACCAAAATCGGTGGAGATGTGTGGATGGTCGGTTTACATTTAGGAATGCTGTACAATAAAAGAATTTTACAGAAAGATTTTAAGAAGAAAGTATATTTTCATTATACAGTATGATAATAAATTGTTTATAAAATATTAGTGATCTGCCCTGGCTTCGAATAGGTAGATGGATAGAATGATAATATGTTTATATAGTTAGCTTTAATAGGCAAATTTTTAATACTTTTTTATATTATTTTAATTTTCGCAGGAATTTCCAATTCTTTGTTGTCAATGTTTTTTTTTAATAATGGTTTTGTCACTCGCTGATAATGTAGCTTTCAATAGGCGAGAGTATTTTTAAAATCGGTTGAGTAGTTTTTGAGTTTATCGATTAGTAACAAAAAAATAAAAAAATAAATTGAAATCGTTTGTATTTTATTTAAATCCAAGCATAGTATAATAAGAAAATAATTCAATTAAATATTTGTATAGCAAATTTTCCAAACTCTAAATAGATAAACAATTAAAAATAAATTGATAGTAGTATAATATTATTTATTCATATTTGTTAATATAAATTTCGAAGTACATTTTGGATATAATAACATTTCAAATAATACACTATATTTATAAAAAAAAGAATCATTAAATAAATTGTACGTGAATGTATCTTTAAATCCAGTCGGAAAATTACACTTAGCTTTTACAGATCATTGATATCGCAAACTTTAATATGGATGAAACATTAAAAGTATTCCACCGCGTTCTTTCTATTGGTGGGATATCAATATTTGCTAAAAGAAATTGGGATAGTACAATATGGCTCGCATTTCAATCGTTCAATGTATTTGTTGGATTTTTTTGTTTTATTTTTACCACTGGATTCGTCGTCACAAATACCTCAGATGTCCTGATATTTATCAAAGGGGCTTGTATTTGGGCAACTGGTGTAATAATGACCATAAGTCTGGCCATGTGCTTAGCTTTCAGAAGCAATTTTCGTAAGTTTTTAGAAGAGATGCTGTTCGTGGATCGGTTATTGGATATACCGTTGATAAGACATGTCGTTGCTGATGAAGAAGGCTCTAAATCGATTGAATTGAAGAATTTGGTAAATAATACTCAGATAAAATTGTTCAAGTATACGAAAATACTTCTTAGGTGTTACGTTTTTTGCGTTTATTTCGTGGCAACCCTATACCTTTGCAGTCCAATTTATGAAATGCTTATTAGACATGATAAGTCTTTACGACTTTTGGGTAAGTAATTTTAACATACATTTTTCTTTATTATTCTTATTACATTTGTTTTTAGGCCGTGGACTGTTTGAAATAATGTTTTGGTGAAAATGCGAGTTGGCTCAACTTTCAGTGAATGGATTAAGACAGGGTTTTCATTATACTTGTAGATGGATTTAATCAGACAGCCGTAAATATCTCATTCAATATAAAAATATTTTTTACCTAAAAGAACCATTAAAATGTCGAGTTTTTCTATTAAATTTATATCACTATTAAACGACATGAAATGTCTATTTAACGTCTTAAATAGACGTTCTCAGGTAACGTCCATTTGACGTTAATTTTGTGTGAATAAAAGTTACCACGCTAGTTATTATTGTAAAACTATTTTTATTCCGTGACTCTAGTCCCCATTACTAAAAAAACCTACGCCCATCATCGGTGAGTTCTATTAAATTAAGTATCATATGATAACACGAATAGTGTAAAGGATTTTATGATTTTCCAGTTTCACGGATGGTGTCTCTGGATTTTTAATAATTTTGCCGATTTGATCGCTTTATATGAACTTTCTTTCAGCATTCGACATGTGGTTCCCGTGGGATTTGGAAAACTTATATGTTTATATAGCTACGTTTATATACCACGTTTATGCTGGATATTTGTGTTGTGTCGGTATGTATTAAGAATCTTTCACTTGATTTATTTAGTAGGATTAAGATAAATGTTCCTTGTAGTCCCGGAATAGAATAGGCCATTCCTTCCTTTCCTGTGGGTGTCGTAAAAAGCGACTAAGGGAGGACAAAGGATGGACAGCAACGTCTCTCTTGAAATGAAAAACAGTAACCATCACCTACAAACATGAAGAGCATTATAAATATCACAGAATACACTTTGACTTCCACTAGTAGTGTTGCTATTCACAAAAAAATAATTAAGTTTACATCATCATCATCATAGTAGTTATCAACTATCCACTACTGAACTTAGGCTTCCCATAATTGGGAGGTTTCACCAGTAGATGCCACGCTTGGCAGGCGGGTTGGCAACCGAAGTTAGGCTTTGGTAATGACTTAAGAGGGTCGCTGCTACCCATTCCTCGACAGTTAAGTCCCTTAATCGCCTCTTTACGACATCAACGGGAAAGGAAGGGATAGCCCAGACTGGACCATACGGCGGGACGACGGCTACATATATCCTTCTAATTATTTTTAGCATACCCTGGTCTACAATCAATGATCATTTTACTCGTTGGTCAGAAGATACGTCACTTGAGAGTGTTGACGTTCATTCTTCTTAATCTAGATGAACTGGTTATGGAGACTTTGAAGGAAAACCAGGAACAGTGGCATGCGTGTTGCACTGATATATTATTGCAGTGCGTGGATCACTATGTAAACCTCAAGAAGTGAGTATCATAAGTTTGTTTATTATTATTATTATACAAGATGGAGTCGAAATCATCAGCATTTTCTTAAGAATGAGTTTTGTTATCAAAACTGTATTATTTTTCCAAAGTCAAAAATAAAATACCAAAATTAAGAGCGTGTCATACTAATTTCATAGTTGATGTGCCATAAAGCTACTTAAGTGGTTTTCTTCTAAAACTAATATTTCATAATTTGTATGGAAATGATAAAAAATAGCAATGGTTAAAATAGTTTTGCAGATGGTTTTTTTTTTTACTTTTTATTAATAAATGAGTATAATTTATTTGCATTATACTACATGTGTTATAAAATAACATTTGTGTGAATATAATAATCCGCCGTTTCACCGGGTGGTCCCGGTATGGAATAGGCCACCCTTTCCTTTCCTGGGTGTGTCGTAAGAGGTGACTAAGGGACGGCGAGGGATGGGCAGCAGCGTCCCTTCTAAAACATCATTTAAAGCCTAATTGCCGACCCGCCTGCTACTACTGTCAAAACTACCTTATGGGGAAGGCTTATGTTCAAAAGTGGACAGTTAAAGGCTGTAATAATAATAAAAAATATAATAAGGCTTATTGCTAGAAGCGATCTTTTCATGATAACCTTAGGGTACAGGATTAAATATATAAATCACCGGGAATTCTTTTGAAACATCGTGGACTGGATGCAATAAACAGGATAAAGAAATTGTAATAGAGAAGAAATGAATTTCTAGAGAGTAAAATTAAAAAGAAAAAAAATCGTGCAGATTATTAGGTGAAACATAATTTACATAAGTATTTTAGGGCTGGCAGAGAAAATGAAAAAGATCAGTTTTTTTAATTTCCCAGTATTTTCATTATACTTAGATTTTTTTCTAGATACTCCTTAAAACATTACCTTATTTTATATTTGTTTGTACACACTTTATATGTAGGAAATAGTCTTGTTTAAATGATAGTAATTAAACTAAATTTTAATAATTAAAAATGTAATTAAATTTTGTATTTTAATTTATTTTAGCATGCAGTTAACCTGATAATAAGTGATTATTACTGCGCATGGGCAACCGCAACACCAATGATATTGCAAGAGTGTTATCCACATTTTTGAAAGGAATATGCTTTCATCATCATCATCATCATATCTGTCTTTAACTGGTCACTGCTGAATATAAGCCTCCCCTTGGGGGGTTTTGTCAGTAGTTGCCATGCTTGGCAGGCGGATTGACAACCGCAGTCAGACTTTAGAGATATTTTAATAGACACGCTGCTGCCTATCGCTCATCCTCCCTCAGTCGATTTTTACGACACCCACGGGAAAGGAAAAGGTGGCTCATTCTATATCGGGACCATTTAGAATTGCAAACAAACTGACCGTCCACCTGATGGAAACTGATAACCGTCGCTTATAGACATGAGCAGTACCATGGATATAACAAAATACTGTTTCACGATACCACCCATGATGCTACCCATGCGTTGCCATTCCTAAAGACTCAGGTGTTATTCCTCTGTAGCCTGTAAATTCACTGCCATATCTCACCCTTCGAATCGAAACATAGCCATGCAAACACAACTGCTTAATGGTAGAAACACGAACGAGACCGAGGTGGCCAAGCACTTTTGTTTTGTACTTGACTTTTGGGCAGTCTCCTTCTGGTAAAAGTAATATGGTTTGTCTTCTTTCCACAGCTTCAGTAACAGATTAAATAAAATATGTCGACCTTTCTACTTGACCCTTATTCTGGTCGCTATCATACTCGTTTGTATGTGTTCAGTGAAAATCGCTAAATCGGTATGTAATATTAAAAATATTTTACATTTGTTAATTGGCGTTTTATAATGTTATATATATATATATATATATATATATATATATATATATATATATATATATATATATATATATATTACATAATGTAAAGTATACTTATTAATTATTTATTCATTCATTATTCAGCTTATAAAGTGTCTCATATTCTAAGTTAGGACTAACTTATTCCTTTACTGACACCCATTCAAATCCGTTCAGTCAAAGTTCAGTTCTTTTAAGCTACCTCTAATAAACATTTATAAAAGCTAGCACATTTTTATTAGTAGAATCATAAGAAATATTATATATCTAATTAATATCACGAATATTATAGGATAAACTATCGCTGGACACAATGAAGTATTACACCCACGAATTATGCTTCATACTAGTAGTGCTTATGTTTTGCTTATTGGGACAGCAAGTTGAGAATGAAGTAAGTTTTAAAATTAACATATTTATATTAATAATTGTTTTATTTTTATTTTTAATAAATAAATGTATTTATTTGCAGTAGATAAATAGATAAATATTTTATTTGAGTCCATTGTGATACATGTAAATTAACAAATGAGTTTATATAATCAAATTATCTACAATTTTTTAAACATAAAACAAAAGATAAAATATATATTATATTTTGTAATTTAATTAATGATATCCATGCCCACATCAGGCACCTGTTGGCTACAATTTTGAAGTTTTTATGGTATTAGTTTGTTTTTTTTTATACAACTTAGAATGGCAAACAAGCTGACGGTCCACTTGATGAAAAGTGGTAACCGTCGCCTATAGACACGAGCAGTATCATCGACATAACAGAGTATACTGTTTCGCCTATGATACCCCCTATGCGTTGCCATTCCTGAGGACTCAGGTGTTATTCCTCTGTACCCAGTAAATTCACGCCATATCCCATCCTTCAAACCGAAGCACAGCCATGCAAATACAGCTGCTTCACGGTTGAAACATAAATGGGACAGAGGTACCCAAGCAATCGACTTTTGTACAAAGTCTCCTTCTGGTACTGTCTCGTTGTACTCAGAAAGTTGTGATATAAAGAAATAATCATTGTTATTATTCCTTATGCCGTGTAATTTCAGCAACAAAAAGGCCAGCCCTTGGGCAGCAGCGTCTCTTTTAAAACATCTCCAAAGCCTAACTGCGGTTGCCAATTCACCTGCCAATTTTAACAACTACTGGTAGATGATGATGACTATCATTCCTTAAAACTATTGTTAGTAGTTATTATTAGGTCTTGGAATTTTTTTGCTTAGAATATATATATATATATATATATATATATATATATATATATATATATATATATATATATTCTAAGCAAAAAAAATTTGATTATATATATATATATATATATATAATCAAAAACTAAAAAATAAATAATAATTCTCAAAAAAAAGAACAACCTATATCTGTATCAACAGCACTGCGTAATAATGATATTGTAATCTGAAACCAGTACCAGGTATGTACATATCTTGTACTGATTTTAGATAAACACAAAACTAGTAATCTATTTTAGTAAAACAAATTCAATTATTAAATGAATTAAATGAATGAAAATGAAAAACAATTTAATATATTTTAATATATTATATTACATTGAATTTAAATTAACAAAATAGTTGTTGGTTAAAACTTATTTTTAATTTCAGTGTGAAAAATTGGATATAGCTGTCACAGAAAAGTGGTATATATTTAACAGGCATCATAAATTAAATGTGCGTATATTCAAAATGGCGACGGGTCAGAAAATGCCTATATATATTTTTGGAACGATTACATTATCATTGCCTACATTCACTTGGGTAAGAACAAATTAATTTTATAAAAACCTTCCATTTTATTTACACTCAATATTTTATGTTATTTAAGAAAGAAAATATTTTTGTATTATGTTTTTTATTTTTTATATTTTGATTATCTAATATATTTTATGTCATTTTACAGTTCATTAAAACGGGAATGTCTTTTTTCACATTAGTGATGTCGGTGATAGAAGATTGAAATTAAAATAATAAATAATATGACTAATTTAAAACAGTAAACATGTTTAATATAATAGAAAATAGAACATAAAACTAGGGTTTATAAAAAACAATTAATTTATACAAAATAAATAAATAATGTATAATTATGCACTTACTTACACTGTAATTAATTATGCGCAACAATTATGCACTACAATCATAATTACAAGTTCAGATTTTTAATTAATAATTGGAATTGATATGTATTGTATCTAGACAAATTTTTTTGCAGTACTTTATACATAACGGCCAATAGCAATAAAATAGAATAGTACAATTATATATAAAACTGTTTATTTAAGTTATAAAACGCTTTATCTAAGTCATAGATGATTCATAGTAACTTTTGTAGAAACTTTACGTATTATTATATGAAAAATTAGTATTTAAAAAGTTTACTGGAAAATAAAAATACGCCTCTATTTTATTAATTAATAAATATTGATAACTACTGAGTGACAAAGTTTTGTTATGTACGTTGAAGTTAAAAAAAAAGAAAATTACAAATTTGAAGAAAGCTTCACAGAAAATGACCATTTTCGAAAAGACCCAAATACATGTTTGGATCTCCTATTATATTCTTTGTCATTACAAAAAGGCTATTAAAGAAGAGAATAGACTGATCTTCATGACTGATTTTTTTCTATATTAAGATCGACATACCAAAATATCGATCCAGAAAAATCGAACATCTATCTTTTGGGTATCGATCCGATTCATTAATCGAATTAAAATCGGTAATTTTTCTCTAGAATTAACCCTAATATTTACATTCCAAACTGTGTTGTAAGCAAAAATAACAATAACAGTTCTGAATGCGTACAATGCGCTAGATAAATAAAGATTTTATTCAATCAAGATTTATTCATAATAAAAGAGAACATTTACGACCGCATTCCATTATCGCAAATAGGGTTATTAAGTAATGAATAGAAGTAGGATCAATAAAAATTGGTTCCAAGTACCAATATTGAAGCTAGGGAATTGCTGATATTACTTATTGTTGCAAAAAAACAAAAGAAATTTGTATATGGGAGTTAATATCATCAAAATTGCATATTATAAAAATATATATTCGAATTCAGAAGCATTTCCTTTCTAACGACTTAAAAAAGAAGATTTTCAATTCGGTTAACTGTTTGTTATCTCATAACTCTGTCAGTTTTAAACCGATTGGGAAAATTTTTTGTTCATCTGAAAAGATATATTTATAGATTGGTTCCGTAGAAATTTTATTAAAATGAGTTCAGTAGTTTAGTTTTTAAAACAAAATAACTAGTTTTGCCATAACTGAAGTTGATGTTTTTGTGAAACACAATCTTTGATTATTTGGAGTAGTTTAATAGCGCGGGAGTTCCACACGGAATATGACCTAATAGAGTATATTGCTAGCAATGGGGTTTTAGACCCCAATTCGTCCTGCTATAGAATATTAGGACAGAAAATTCGTAAATTAAAAATTAAAAACATATAACTGTCATAACAGTTGAAAGGCACAGTCCTTAATATGGAGGGCTCGAAATACATATTTTATTGTTTTACGACCTATTTTTCTTTCAGTATTTCTGGTAGAATATTCTTATAAAGGGAGGCTAGCGATTTCGATTTCATACTGTATGATAAATTACTATTTCACTACTTCAATAATAAAATGGCAACTTCCTTACAAGTTAATATATCAGGGAATAGTAAGATTATGCATATAGCGTCGGCGGGACGTTATTACTGGTAAGAAATATGTCGCCTCTTGTATGTTGGCACCCGATATTGTAAATTCGGGAACTGATATCGAGATGTTATTACGAATACGAATCGAGTGCGTGAAATGTGGGTAGTAGAATTATATGTTTGAATTATGAAGAATATCCTGAAGAAATAGAGTGAGGGTTTATATAGGAGTTGTCTTGCTAGAGTATTGGGTATATTTGTTTTTCATTGGTAATTCTGCTGCTAAACTAATGCTTGCATTAGATTATTATATTTTTAATTAGTAACTAGCCCGGCTTCGTACGATATTTTTTTAATAAAATACAGCCTATATTACTTGCTGATAACGTGATTTCTATAGGTGACATTTTTTTTATGTAAAAAATTCAAATTCAAACTCTTGGTAATATTAGTTTAGAAAAATATCAACAGATCAAATAGATATAACAATTGGACAGAGGGAAGAGCAATAAAAATTAATGTAATTGCTCACTACAGAGTGAATATTATAGTTAACTATGAAGCTAGACACTAGAGAATAGATAATAGTACAAGAAGAGACGACATGATTATTTGTATAAGATAGTTGTAATTTAAAAGAAAAGTTTAAATAACTAAAAAATCAAAACAGAATGTATTTAAAAAAGTTTGAAAAAAGTGACTCTTCGAAATGAATAAAGTACACCAATTTATATTGAAAAATGTCTTCTATTCTAAAATGGAAATAATGAAAATTAAATACAAAATTGTATATTATTAATGGATTTATAATTCTTAGAACTCGGAACGAACAAACTCAAGTAAGATACCAAGCCTTTTTAGATATTAGAATTTTAATGGTAAACCAAAAGATATTTTAGAAGTAGATACATATGTATAAATTTATAAATAAAAATTAAAACAATTTCATAACAATGATATCATCAATTTTCAATAAAAAAAAAGTTGTAATTACTCTATATAAAATGCACTCTTACGGTATACATTGGTCTGTTCCTAATGTTTTTTGTTTTCTTTTCCGAATAACGCAAAGGAATATCTTTTAAGGCGACAATATATCCCTTCCTTTATTTGTTATGCCATAACCATCTGCAGAGGATTACTCTGTAACAGAAGATATAGCGAATGGTTATATTTTTTGGTACAGAGTAATCCGCAGTTGCATGTTATAGAATGATACCTATATTATTAGCTATGTTCGTATCTTAATGGATCTTGTACCTTTTGCATACTGTATTGTTTGTATTTAGTATTTTTTTTATGCAACTTAGAATGGCAGAGGGGAAAGGGATTGTTAGTAATGGGGTCAAATAACCCCATTACTAAGAATATACCCTGTCAGGTCGACCTCCACGCGGTTCCCCCTGGAAACCATCGTGGCTAATTCCAGTTGAATTCGTCAGGATGGGCTAACTGACCTGCTTTCATCCTCATCAGTCATCTATCACTGGTACCCCGCCAGTGTATACCGATAGCGCAGACGGGGTTACCATATCATTATCACTCATTAAAAAAAAAACTTAGAATGGCAAACAAGCTGACGGCCTATTTGATGGTAAGTGGTAACCGTCGCCTATAGACATGAGCAGTACTGTGCATATAACAGAGTATACGACATGATGGACGAAACACGCCCATTATGCCCCCCATGCGTTGCCATTCCTGAGGATTCAACTGTTATTCCTCTTTACCCTGTAAACTCACTGCCATATCCCACTATTCAAACCGAAACACAGCCATGCAAACACAACTGTTTAAGAGTAGAAACACGAATAGGACAGACGTGCCGAAACAAACGACTTTTGTAAAAAGTCGTTTGTTTCTATGCTATATGTATGTATGCTGCTAAGAAAATGTTTTTTTTTTGTAATGGATGATAATGAAATAATATCCCCGCCTGCGCTTACGGTATACAATGGCGGGGCACCAGTGAGGGATGATTGGTGAGGATGAAAATGCTGGTTAATTAGCCTATTCAACGAATTCAACGATAAATCAGTCACGAGGTCGACCTGATAGGGTATATTGATAGCAATGGGGACTAACCTCTTCATTACTAACAATTCCTTTCCCCCGAAATAGCTGTTGTTTCGCTATATTTTTGGCTTTATTTAAATTATTAGGTTAGGGGGGTAATAACATCTCAGTCGGCAGGGCTACGTATGATAAGTATTCTGAACATTAAATATATTGTGTAAAATTCATTGCGCTGTTTATGTCTATAGGCGACGGATATCACATTCTATCCTGCGGATCTACCACGAAATAAAATCTCGAATTTTCGGACTCAATTTAGTATTTTTAATTTAAAATAAGTACATTACAATTTCCATTATTTATATTATGTTATTATTCGTATTGTTAATACTTTTACTTATTTAATGACATTTAATAATTTAATTCTATTTTAATGTTTATCAAACACAAGGTATGCTGTGGTTGCCTATAAATGTAAGAACAGTTATATTTAATCTACCAGTGTATTGTATTGAAATGTTTAGCTGTATTTTATGTTGGTAATCCTATAAATAAATAAATAAAATAAATATTTTTATTCCCACCGAAATCGGCCTAATAATTAGAGCTTTACATTTCGTTCCTCATTAATCCTATCATAATAGTCCATAGGAACTAAAGAAAAGGTGTTTCGGGAAATATTTAACGATAGGCTTTCTGTTGTATAAAAAAAATATGATCTGCGTAATGAATTTTTTAAATCATTTAAACAACGACTCATAACAAAAATAGTAGTAAAACTCGGATTGTTCTGTGAAAACATTCATATGACATTTCAGCAGATGAAACAATACTGAAAATAAATACTAGTAAAAGTACAGGCTAGCAAGAAGAGAGATTAGAGTTCCGTGGGTAGTTAATAATAAAATGATAATAATATAGTGAGATAAATAATGAAGTTTAAATCAATTTACTTGCCTAAATAAAAAATAATAGTCAATCAATAGTGTAAAACTATTGTGGGAGAAAACTTTGTCGAAAAAAATATTAAGTCAAATTAGTCTATTAATTCCATCGTATGGCATAATTATTGCCTACTTAAAAAAATAATAGTCAATCAATAGTGTTAAACTATTGTGGGAGAAAATTTTGTCGAAAAAAATATCGAGTTAAATTAGTTTATTAATTCCATCGTATGGCGTAATTATTGCCTACCTAAAAAAATAATAGTCAATCAATAGTGTAAAACTATTGTGGAAGAAAACTTTGTCGAAAAAAATATTAAGTCAAATTAGTCTATTAATTCCATTGTATGTCGTAATTATTGCGTAACTCACACGTACAAAGAAAAATTAGTGCCATATTATTTAGAATATCATACATTTTAAAATTCATATTTAAAAGCTAGATTTTTAAATATAATAAAGAACATAATAGTTCAATATTATGTATAGGGAAATTTTTTATCGTCAATAAGTTAATTAACGAATAATTTGCACGAGAAAAAGAAAACTGTTACAGAATTTAGAACATCATCCTTTTAGAAAAAAAATTTAAAAAGTTAGTTTTTTTTTTAAATACGGAACTCCTAAAATATGGCCAGCAACAGTTTCAATGTAAGTGTCTCAAATCCGCAATATGCGGTGCGAGCCATGCAAGACGCGAGCCGAGACACTCAGTGTTTTCGGCTCTTCATGACTTCAGCATTCTGTAGCCTATAGTTGGTACGCTAAATGTTATTGCAATGTTTTAATTTATATATTTCTATTAGTGAATTTATTTGTAGC